CTTCAAAATGGATAGGTTTCTTCTCCTTGCAGTCCAGGGGACTCTCAAGAGTCTCCTCCAGCACCACGATTCAAAAGCATCTTCGGTGGTCAGCCTTCTTTATGATCCAGCTCTTACTTCTTTACATCGCTACTGGAAAAACCATAGCTTTGACTATGCAGACTTTTTTGGGCAAGGTGATCTCTCTGCTTTTTAAGATGCCATCTAAGTTTGTCATTGCTTTCCTCCCAAGAAGCAGGTGTCTTTTAATTTTGTGGCTGCTGTCACCATCTGCAGTGATCATGGAGCCCAAGAAAATAAAATCTGTCACTGCCTCCATATCTTTCCCTTCTGTTTGCCAGGAGGAGATGGGACCAGTGGCCATGATCTTAGTTCGGTGGAATGTAGTTTGGTGGAACTTAGTTTGGTGGAACTTAGTTTGTTTTCTTGAGAGTCCCCTGGACTGCAAAGCAAACAAACCTATCCATTTTTAAGGAAATCAGCCCTGACTGATCACTGGAAGGACATATTGTATACATTATGTCTTATCATTTAACCTCCCATTTCTTTAAGATCTTGCCCAACTGCAGAACAGATTGGCATGGAATCATTAGATTTGCAATTAGTCTCTTCTCAAAATCAAGAAAAACCCAACTCATTCTGCACCTCAATCAGTTTTTATTGAAACATTGTATAATCCAAATGGCTACAAGATATATACAGTACTATGAAGTCACTGATTCCAAAGGAATACAAGTTTAAAATGGCTTTAGTCTTGTATATTCTAAACTTACTGTCAATTTTTAAAGATATACTGCCATATTTTTCTTGAGCCCACGAACTGCCAAATCCTACACAGAGTTCTCCAGAACAAAGGGATCCTACATAAATATCACATATCTTTTACATCAGCCTTGACTGATTCACTCATTCTAGTAAGAATTAGTATTTTATATACTGAAAAGGCAACCTGCAGGTGGTGGTTTCTCTATGGCTTTTTGTGAAACAGGGCACTGGATTTTGAATTATTTGAAAATTCTTAAGTTCACATGAATACGTATTTAATTCCAAAGGCTGGGAAAGTTATTATTTTTGACACAGCTTCCCGAGTCCCCATAGCTGTAGCTCGGATGTGTTGCCTGAAAAGGTAACTTTCCCAAGCTCTGAGGAATGAGAACGTTGCAACCCCACTCCTGGAGAACCATATGTTGTCCACTCTGCCTCCAGGTTGCTTATTATCTTTGGACATTAAAAAAAAAGGCCTGCCTCCCATTCCTAAACATGTAATTCCAACACGTGGATTGCTATTGATTTTGCAAATACCATAGCCTGGATCATTTCACATTGTGAGCCCCTGTCACCATTTTGGGAAGAAGAATAACAAATATTTTAAGTTAAGGAATGGCATGTAAAATTCTGCTCACAACCCAAGCTCAATTCCAACTGATTCTGTAGTTAGGTAGTTAGCTCAAGGTTGACTAAAACTTCCATCCTTCCAAGGTTGGTAAACTGGTTACACAGCTTGTGGGGGTGGGGGGTGGGGGGGTAATGCGTAGCCTGAAAATGTGTTGCAAGGATAAAATAAGAAAACCCCATATATGCTGTTGTCAATGCCTGTGAGAAAGGAAGAAGACACTAAATCAGCAATCAATCGGATGAGTAAATATCAACATCTACTTAATTACCTTGATTTACTTGTTCCAATAGGAAGAAAAAAATCATTTCTAAATCAATTGATATTATATTTTTCCTATACAGGATCTCATTAATATCTCAACATTGCTATTCTTCATTTATAGACATGGCACCAAAACATGTACACACTTTCTAAACATAGCTAGATGTTGGATGTTGTATTAAAGTAGTTTAAAATCTGCCCTAATTTCACTTTTACTGTTAACTACTGGATTTTTAAAAAATCATAAAGCTTTATTATTTGTTTGGAACAATGCTGTTTACTCCTGAAGCAACCTACCCAAAACACCACCAAATGTCATATTATATAGTATAATTGATCAGACTGAATCAGTTTTGGAAAATATTAGAATTTCTCTTAGAATCATAATTAAAATCTTAATTAATTTTTCCACTCATTATAAGCACAGTGTTCTTGAATCGTTATTGCAGAATTCGCCAATGTCTTTCTTCAGATGCAGTCACGATGAGTCCACTCAGCAGCTTCCCAAATTCTGTTCCTGGGATTTTCTTGCAAATTCAAGATTCTCTGAGTTAAGGAGGAATGTGGTATATGCCATCTCAACTTCCTCTTTAGAGCCCTGAAAGAATAAAGAAAATCTCAAAAGGGTTTTAATGTAGCCCAGGAACCACAATAAGGAGTCACATGAGAACTACCTGCTTCATGAAAGAACACTTCAGTTCATCAGGCACCTCTGCAGTAAGGATGTGACAAGTGCTTGAAAAATATATCATTCTTTGCCATTTTCTGAGTCTTGCCACAAGATCCTTGTGGAAAAAAAATCCCCAAGAATCTATCCATGCTTGTACTGAGTTTATCAAAAACCCTTGAGGATTCCTTGCTTCCTTTGACAGAGTTTTGCATTGTTTTTAGATAGTAGTCAGATGCAAGAGAGGATAAAACCCTTGACATTCTTGCAGTAATTTGAACAAGGAGTTTCAGCAAACATTTGCTTTACATGAATATAAAGGTAAGAACTACTGAATATGCACGATCTTTTCAGGTATAAGAGTGTCCTCCTCTTTGGCCTTTGGACCCTGGACACTTTTAAAACCCTTTTTTCCTCCACTCCATAGTATTAGGACATCTGTCATTACTCATATTTCCCCTCAATCCAGGTGTTCGGACTGTGACTCCTAATATGCTGCTAATTCTCCTGGAAGTATAAATCTATGCATATAAATGTTACTTTCGGTGCAGAAAAAGGCAAACATCTTTGTTTTGGAACATAACAGTGATGGAAGATCTCTGACGTCTAAACATCTCCCATCACTTAGCTCTGTATCCTTCATTCTAGTGAGATTTCTTTTGTGATCAGTCTCTGGAAGGTAAGCAGAGGCTTTATTTATTTGTAGATCTGGTTATTCAAGGACTCCTCTTTCGTGCATCCAATACTAGGAGTGTGGCTAGCAGCTCACTTCCCTGTCAATTCTATGATAAGGTTTGGACAGGAATGGGGCATGCTTGTTGTCTATCCTTCTATCTACCCAGCTATCTACTATAGGTTTGTTTATTTTTACCACGTTTCAAACATGATAATTCACAAAGGGATTTACAAGAATAATAAAGCAATTCAAGTAAAATAAATTGTTTTGTAATTGGTAGTTGATTTGTGGCTAGTAATTGTGAAATATGAGTTTTGTAATGAACCATTACAAAACCACAACAAAAGAACAGCAGCCATTAAAAAAAAAGGTCCATCATCAAAGATCCAAAATTGCTGTTAAGATCAAACTGAGAAAGTAATGTGAAATAAACAGGTCTTTATTCTGCATCAAAAAGGATGGAAGTGGCATAAGAACATATGATCATGAGCCCTGCTGGATCAGGCCAAGGGCCCATCTAGTTCAGCTTCCTGTATCTCACAGGGACCCCACCAGATGCCTCTGGGAGCACACGAGACAACTAGATATCTGTCTCCTGATATCCCTCCCCTGCATCTGGGATTTGGAGGTACAGTACCTTCCTTTTAAGCCTGGCATGGTACTGTGACTCCAATGGGAGTCTACCAATTAGGAGCAACCACTCAAAAGGTTCTGCTTAACTAAGCATCACTGAAAGAAGCTAATAAGGATACATATATGTCCATTTTGTAACTTATATGCCATAGTTTGGATTGCATAGCAGGCTATTAAAGCATTCTAAAAACAATCTAGGTTGTTCTTACCCTCTTTTTCTTCCTTGATTTGCCCTCCTCCTTAGGACTGCCAGTCGTGATTACACAATCTGTAAGCAAATGGAAAGTTTTACCTATTAATTAACTGTACACATACCTACCAAATTTTATGTAATTTTTAAATAAGTTAGTACTTGGGAAATACTAAGGTACAACAGAAATAATTTGTAAATAATGCCATTACCATTGGTTCCCCCTATTTGGGTCTCATGAGCTCCTTCCATGCAGATGTTGTCCTTTGCGCCATACTGCCTTGCATTCTCAAAATCTGTCATGCTGATATTTGTCCGGTAGCTTCCAACTGAGACCAAATCTAGAGAAAGGAGAAAAAATGCTTCACCCTTAGATCCATCCTTAGATCATTTGGTTTAAAAGATTCATGCAGATAACTTTTTGTCTCAGATATCATACTTATGTAGGACAAAATGCTATTTGATAAGCAAACTTTAAAAGTTTCAAAAGCAGTGCATATAAATATTCACCATTAAAATTAAAGTTTAAAAGTTAGAAATTAAAATTCAAGACATGTTGATTCCTCCAAGGGAGAAAGCAAGCAAGCAAGCAAGCAAGCCATGTTGATTCCTCCAAGGGAGCAAGCAAGCAAGCAAATACACACACACACACACACACACACACACACACACACACACACACACACACAGAGAGAGAGCGAGAGAGAGAGAGAGAGCGTGATATAACTGGTATTGACTCACCAGAATGTTTGAAAAATTTGTATTTCACAACAACAAAGATTGTGACAAGAAGCAGAAATATGACTCCAACTGGAATCAAAACTGAGAGTAGAACTGTGGAACTTTTACTGTCTCCGTGGCTGGAAAAGAAGTTAAATTGGCACATCAGTGACTGCAGAATAATATTGGTTAAACTGTCAATAATGCTTTTCAGCAACTGTGGATGACGTTACATGTTACACTATACCAGTGGTTCTTAACCATTGTTACTCGGATGTTTTTGAACTGCAACTCCCAGAAACCCCAGCCAGCACAGTTGGTGGTGAAGGCTTCTGGGAGTTGCAGTCCAAAACTCCTGAGTAACCCAAGGTTAAGAACCAGTGCACTATACCACAATTTAGCAAGGCAAGAATGAATACATCTCTTCTTCCAGGGCAGTTCAGAAGCGTTTCATCCAGGTTTTGATTACCTGCAGCAGTGTAATCTGAACATGAAAACCTGTGATTTCCTTTTAACTATGATTAGGGGGTTTTTCAAATGAGAGTTTCTGAGGTTTGTGGTTTGTTTTCAATAGTCACAATTAAGATTAAACACCATTCATAGTTCAGATGCTCAGATGCAGTTAACCTAAAATGGAAGCATGGGCATCCGTCTTCAAGTAGTAGCAACACTGGCAAGAGGGGGAAGCATGCAAGGAAATCCAGGGTCATTCTTTTAACATCCAAGGTAGGCAAACTATGGTTGGGTGGTATATCTAGATGTGGCAACATCTAAGATATCAAATGCATCAAATGAAGATAATCAAAGCAAAACCTCTTGATATAGCAGTAGAATCACCATGTACACAGTCATCACTCTTCAAAGACTTCAAAGGTTTTAATCTTGAAAATGAAATGTTCTTAAATTTGATTTTAAAAATTATTTAAATGAAAGAATTGTCCCATCCTCTTTTTCATCCCTCTTAAAGCAAGATCCATTGAATCTAGAACATCTGTAACAGATTCATTTACTCCATAAAGAAATACCTTATTTTAGAAATACAAAACGACAGTGCCACAAGTCATAACGAGCCACTTGTATAGCCCTGTTACATGAACCTCTTTTACATAACAGAGGGGATACCAGAAATGTCTAAGTCAAAAAAGGTAATCTACCATGGTACTAACTGCCTCTCTTTGCAAATAATAGCAGCATTTCCCCTTGAAACTATAAGCATTAAAGGCTAACAAATTTTCTCTGACATAAGCTGTTGTGAACTACAGCCCACTTTGTAAGATGTGTGAAATGTAGTCTTGGTTGGCTGATATTTATTCACATGCCAAGGGCACAGAATTTCACATTCACATGCCATCTTTTTAGGGGAGGAAATATATTTTTGCATTTAAACTTCCTATGCAGTTTCAAAATTCCATATTTATTCGCACAGATCTGTCAGTGTTCCATAATTTTGCGTCTCAGCAAGCGTTCAATCTCAGTCCACCTGTTGATTAAAATGTATCTGTTCAACAGAGGGATCACTCCTTTGGATTATTCTGCTTCATGACATATAGTACAGTCTTAAGAAATTTTTGCAGCAACTCACCTATCTGCTGAACCTCCAACTCCAGCTGCTTCTTTGGGTTCATTTAAGGGAACACCCCGGTTTTCAGGCTTGATTTGAGGAACATCAGTGCCATCGTTTGATTCTTCACTGGGATTGCGAACATCTCCAGAGTTTTGGAGTACTGTGTAAAAACATTTAGTGAGTTAGTTTTCAACAGCATATCAAAACAAAAGAAGCAGAAAGAAGAAACTAAAATAGTATCTAATGCCCAAGCCAGATAATAACTAAGATCAGTAGTTTCAAATAATGAGTTTCTTGCAATTTCTTTCTGTTTCCAATAATAAAGTTATAACTAAGTTACTTCATTGTTGAAGTATAGTGAAGGATAATTTCCCTCCTCCTGCACTGCAATTGTACCTTTTGTTGTTACTTATATTATTACTTTTAGTCATTTTCTGTTATTTTCAAAAATCTCCCATGGTTTTTCTTTTTGCTGTTGTTTTTATTTTGAAAACAACTAAGGCAAACCAGCAGAAGATTTCCCCTCCCCCCCAAAGAAACAAACAAACAGAAAAAAAATGAAAAACTCTAATGATTATTCTTGTAAATAGACAGCTCTTTCTCACAGAGGAACTAGTACTAGTTTTGGTAGAACAGGACTGCATTTTAACAATAGCATTTTAAGTGTAAAATTTAAATTAGAAATATAGCTGTCTTTGGGTATTATTTTGAGGAAAGCATTTTGTTATACCATTCCTTGATTAATTATTTATTAACCCTATGGATATTTTTTCCTACCCTCTGTGTCTGTATTAACTTTTAACGTTTTCTTGGTAATACTATAATGGGAAAACCTTCTACAACATGGAGCCCCTCCCCAGAAGTTTGAGACTATTATTGTCATGATCCTCCTTAGAGCCAGTTGGCATAGATGGTAGACATTATGAGTGAAAATATTTGAATGGCATCAATTTGTGCAAAAGCACAAGGACAAATTATGATTTTGTCAATAATTAAAAAAAAAAGATTTATGGGGTGCAGAAGTATTGCCCTAAAAACTAAAACCACTTCTTAAAAGATGCTTTGGAGATGCATTAAAAGTGAAAACACAATTGCAAAACTACAGCTTGGGAGATAGTTTACAAAATAAGTAAAGTTTCTTTTGGTACAAAGCTATTAAGTTTTTAGTTAGTTAGTTAGTTAGTTAGTTAGTTAGTTAGTTAGTTAGTTAGTTAGTTTGTTTGTTTGTTTGTTTGTTTGTTTGTTTGTTTGTTTGGCTTCTGTACCACCCATCTGGACACTCGGCCACTCTGGGCAGTTTACATATTAAACATACACAGTTCCAAACTTAAACATAACAGTATAAAATCAAAGTGAAGATAAAACATCCATGACTATGCCCACCACACTGAATACCTCCACAGTCTTAAGTGTGCTGAAATCTCTTTCATTAAATTAAGAGTAATGTGCATTAACCTAGGTCTGCTCAGTTCATGCCATATAACAGATAAGATAGCACTATGCAAGGAGAAGGGGCGTAATCGTAATCGTAATCGTAATCGTAATCGTAATCGTAATCGTAATTACAATAGTATAGAGCAAGACAGCAGGACTAATAGTATAAATGCTAAGACTGTTCACTGTATTAAGGTCTTGTAAGGTCTGTGAAGGCCTGTAAAAAAAGCCATGTTTTTAATTTATTGATAAGATAACAAGGCAGAAGTAACTCATTAAGTTTCATGACAGTTTTTGTGAGAAAGCTTAAGCAGAACAATGATGTCATGTGCAACAGGGAGAAAACAAGAAAAAAAGTGAAGTGCATTTTAAAGTGTGGCTTGTGTTGTGTTTTATCTATAATGTTAATTCACAAAGGGATACTGCAAAATAGCTGTGGAAATCTATGTTAGGCAAACATGAATAACAAGATACTGTACAATGGAAGCTTTGATGGAATATTATAAAAGGAGGAAAAGATTATTGTTATTTAAGGTGTTCGTTTAATGATAAGGAAGTAGAGAAGAGGGGGGAAAGGTGTCATTTGTTTTATAAGGCTTTAGCTTCACAATTAATAGATTTTTGAAGAGGGTATAAAATAGTATATGTTCTGTAGTAGCAATGAATGTAATATGCATTTGTATTGTACTGTATTGACAGTATGCTGTATTATACTGGCCAACAGTGATCAAGGGAGGGTGAATTTTACCTCAGACCTTGAGAAAGCTAGACCTTGAGAGAACTAGATTTTGAGAAAGCCAGGGTCTGGACTCGGCAGAGCCTGAAGTACCTAGATTCTGTGGCTTTGAATTCTGAGGTTCCCAGAAGCTGAGAAATCCAAGCTTTGCCAATTTGTTTATTATTATGTCCATCCACCCCTCAGTTTGTGTCCACAGTGCTTTGCTCTCAGCTATAAATAGTAAAGAATTAACAGCACTGCAGCAAATAATAATGTGACCAAGGATGTAAAGTAAATGTGAGCAATAGGGTCAAGATAACCTACTGTGTTGTCCCTCCAATTGGACTCAAAGCTCACCTCCTTGAACTTGCAGATATATGGCATGTGTTTCCCCATAGTGGCTTGCATGTCGAATTCCACACCAATACCACCCTTGATCTGCCAGGGATATTTGGTCAAAGTTCAGAGTCAAAACTCTATTGCCTTTATTGCAGTTAACTGTGAAGCCACTTGGGTCCCGTTCAATTGAGACAATAGGGTCACATCCAGTGTTCTTCCACTTGCACCAGTATTTTTCATAATTAGCATATTTGCAAGGATAAGAGCATGATACAGTCAGTGGAGAGCCAGCAACTACTTGGACGCCATTGTCTACTGCTAAATTGGGTTTTCCTGTTTCAGAAAAAATAGAAATAAGAAGAGAAATAGGTATTATGAGATCCCTTTAAATCAAATAGTCAAAGAACCTAATCTTTACCATGACTCAAGCTAATGACTTCTGCACAATACAGTGGTGCCTCGACTTACGAACATCCTGATTTACGACCATTTTGAGTTACGACCAGCTCTGGCTGCAAAATTTTGCTTCTACTTGCGACCAGAGCTTAGAGGGAAAAGGTGGGGAATTTAAATTACTAACTGTTGGTCGGCAAAGAGGCTGCTTCTTTGTAGCTCTTTTGCTCCAATGGTTAGAGTGTGTGCATTTGCAGAGAGGCTTTGGACTGCCTGGTGCTGCTTTCTGCTTCTGAGTGATTACATGCGGGGTTTTGCAGCCAGAGCTGGTCATAACTCAAAATGGTTTGGGCTCGGGGGAGTTTATGTGCTGTGATTTTGTGTGTGTGTGTGTGTGTGTGTGTGTGTGTGTGTGTGTGTGTGTTTTGGTGTGGTTTTTTTTTCAATCCCAGCACCTTCCGATGGGCTTGCGCTTTTTGTGGTGTGTGTGTGTGTGTGTGTTTCGGCTCCAGCACATTCCAATGGGACTGGCAGTGTTCCCTTCCCCCCCCAAGCCGGAATGGATTAATGGGGTTTCAATGCATTCCTATGGGAAATGGTGCTTCGACTTACGACTATTTCAAGTTAAGACCATCATTCCGGAATGGATTACGTTCGTAAATTGAGGCATCACAGTACATTACTTCCCTACCACCCACCCCTCACTCTCTCTCTCTCTCTCTCTCTCTCTCTCTCTCTCTTTCAAACATGCACTCTCTTTCTCATAAACACATACACACACATACGCATTGTAATCTGACCTGACCTTTTCAGGCATGTCTTCATCTGAAGAAACATAATGCATGAACCAAGGGGTATACAGATAAAAGTATTTCCTATAATTATAATGATACATGTAATCATCTATGGCAATATATTGCTGATAAAATCTTTGATTTTTGTTCACAGGTTCCACTCCCGTGGAATCTATCTATTGTGCACTTTAGCAGACTTGCTTGTGAGAAGCAAAATGCAAGCTACATGTCAAATGCAAGCTACATGTCAGACGTTAGTCACTGAGCTTTCAAATATAGCCCTGGCTCTTCATTTTCTGGCTTCTAAAGTAATATCCAGCTTGCCTAATTTTGCACCTCCCCCCCACAGCTGATGGAAAGGATGACATTCTTGCAAATGTTCTTAGCCTTAGAGGAGTTCTAAAATTTCATTCTTACTCTTCTCAAGGAGCATCATCTAAACAACAGCAACTTGGCTGCAGCAAATACAGCTATACCTTTGGAGAAGAAAGCAATGGAGAGAGAGAGAGAGAGAGAGAATCATACCTTTGTTTTTGGAAAAGAAAGACACAAAATACATAGATGGACATCATAATGGAAACCAATGAAGACATGAGCCTTGATTGCATAAGCCAAAGATTCTTGTTATATGATTAGATTTTGAGATGGTCATTTTTTTCAGATTAAAGCAAGGAAGTGTCAATGCAACAATGGACTAAAAGCCACATTGTATTCTGGGAAAATACCTACAGAAGACTAGGAATGGAGAAGGATACGGATGTCACACAAGGTAATCTGGGAGGGGCTCCCTCCCATTAATAATAGGGAATCCTCACCAGGCAGCTGCTAAGTGATGTCCAGAGGGGAAAAAAATCACCCTGATTATTGTTTTCTTTTGCACTGAGGGAGGTGTTCGGCCTAGTTGATTTTTGGTGGGGCCCTCATCATTCTGTCATGTAAGTCTTAGTGTGTCCTGGAAACTGCGCATGTATGTATGATGGAGAAGAAGAAATACCAGTTGACTGCTTGGGATGTGAGAATATTGTGAGTATTGGCACAAAGGTGTTGATTCTTGGGCAAGCAGAGGACTTCTTCAACAATTTGGCAATGTTTTGTCATTCCCAGTGACATGCGGCAGCTTCTTTTTGGGTAAGGTTGCTTCTGTGATGAGAGGGCCTTTTGGAGGCTATGGAGCATCCACTAGTAAAGCTTGCTCAAATTCTTTTAAAATCCAAACTTAGAAATGCATAATCAATCATGTACTTAAATGTTTCTCTTTTCAGATCATAACAATACTGCTAAAATTGGCCCACCACCTACACTGTGCTTTGACTGGAAGAAGAGCAGCCATTAGCACTAGTGCAAATTGTAACTGCTGGGACACATACATACATACATACATACATACATACATACATACATACATACATACATACATACATACATACATACATACATACATACACACACACACACACACACACACACACACTGTACATACATACATACATACATACATACATACATACATACATACATACATACATACATACATACATACATACATACATACATACATACATACATACATACATACATACATACATACATACATCATAATGGGGTGAATGGTCCATTCTCTCATGGTCCTGATTCTCCTCACTCCTCTCATATAGAAGCTCTTTGCATCAAAAAAAAGCACATTTAATAGTTAATTGAAGGTCATATCTGTTAACTTTGTCTGGATCATGCCCATATTATCTATAACTACATTCATCTGAAAATAAGTATTTTATTTAAGGCTGAAACATTGTTCAGGCTAATTTGATCTGAATGCTTCTCCAGCAGCTGACAAAAGAGACATATTATATAAGACAAACAGTACAAGAAACACAGTTTGGTACCTTCAACAATGTTCAGCTCTGTGGATGATTTCCTTTCCTGTTCTCCGTTTGTCATACACCAGTAGTATCCTGCATCTTCATCATTCAGCTGGTTCAGTAGGATGGTATACGTGCCATTCTCTGGGTTATCATGCATCACTATCCTTCCCTCATAAGAATCCTGCACATGTCCCGAGTTGCTTATTATCTGAATGCATTCGTATTGTTTCCACTTGCACCAATATTTGACTGTGACATTCTCTTTTGGATTGTAATGACATTCAACAGACACTGAACCACCACGGACTCCGTTTAGTACTGGTTGTATTTTGGGCACCAATGCTTCTAGAAATGAAAAGAGAGCGCATTAAATAATTTTAATTTTATTTATATAATATGAAAATATGCTGGCTGGAAAGCTCAGTCACTTAGGTATCTGGCTGCAGAGCCAGAAGCTCGGAGTTTGATTCCCCGATATGCTTCTGCAAGTACAGCCAGCCTGTGTGGCCTTGGGCAAGCTGCACAGTCTCAGGATGCTCACAGAAGAATGGAATGGTATATCATTTCTGAGTATTCTCTATCTGGAAAACCTTGGAAACAGTCGCCACAAATTAGAATTGACTTCATGGCACATGGTGATTATTATTAACATGAAAATATAGACATAGACATATTCATCTGGAAAGAGAAGAACATTCTGTTGGAGAAATATGACTATCCATTACTCACCTTCAAAGACATGAACATCCAATTTCTTGGATTCTCCTTCTGCCCCATAGGTCCCAGCTCCACAGAGATATAACCCTGAATCTTGTTTCTTCAGCTGAGTCATAGTGATACTGAATGAACCAGGAATAGGAAGTTTGCTTAGAAGAACCCTTCCTTTGAAAGATGGGTCAATATTCCCTTGTGTATCGATGATAGTGGAGCAGGAGGTCTTTGTCATCTTGCATAGGTACATATTCGCATTTGTATATTGATTGCCAAAGGCACAGGTCATAGTCACTGATCCTTGCTGCTCAACATAGAAGAGTTGAGCCTCTTCAGGCACTATTGAACCTGTAGTAATGACATGACATGCATTAACTATGTGCATGACCAGTTTCTGGCTGTATTATCTCACAGTGTACTGCATGCTTTATCACAATACTTTTGTGCAACAAGTTACATTGTGATTCCTTATCTTATGAAATGTGCTTATACTATTCCACTCCACCAAATATTACTGGTTTATGCCGCATTGTGCTGCAGCAGGTGTGAACAAAATGTAACACTGTATGTTGTGCACTCTGGCTTGATTAACCAGGAGATATATCAAGGTTGGTGGAATGGCTCGGAAATTGTGCAGCCTAAACCAGGAGATACGTATATCAAGGCTGGTGGAATGGCTCGGAAATTGTGCAGCCTTGGACAATAGCATCAAACATTTTATCTATGTATCTACCTCGGTCTATAAGCTTTACAAATGGAAAAAAGAAGAAGATAGAGGCTGAATACATTTCCAAGCTAAAATCTATTTAAGTTCTTATTTAAAAATTTTACTTTCATCATCCCAAAATAGTCCCGAGTAATGTACATTTAAAAAATAGATCAATAGTGCAATTAAAAGCAACAGAAAATATTGAACAAGATGGTACAGCTGAGAGGAATAAACAGTCAGCATAATTGTTTTAAATAATTGAACAAATGTAAATATATATATTTAAACTGGCAGTGAAAATAGTACAGTCATTGTACTTGGCTTCTTTCTTGGAAGAGCATCCAAAGCTGGGGTGACACCACAGAGAAAGGCATGGTCTTTCCACACTTCTCTCAAAGACAGAACATGAAGAAGAACATTTTCTGACTGTGTAAAGACATAGGCAATCTCATGAGAAGCTGTGGGTTAGGGCAGACACCTTGTAGTCTTCAATATGTTGTTTGAATGCAGTTTCCATCATCCTAGCCAGCACAATCAGTGGTAAGGAATCATGGAAGTTGCAGTCCAAGAACATCTGTAAGGCCACATGTTTCCTGCTACTATGACAGATAATTTAATATCTACAGCTTGATTATTACAAAAAATGAAGTAATGTTATGTATATGTACCTTCTGAAACATCAAGCTTGACCCTGAAGGACAGCCCTCTGTCATTAAAACCAATACCACATTTGTATGGCCCCATATCTCTTCTTTTCAGTCCTGCAATTTCAATGATGAATATGCCATTCTCTGGAAAGTCAGTTATTGAAGCTCTGCCTTGATAGTCTAGGGCAACAAAGCCATTGGAGGAAATGATGGTTGAGCACTGGCGTGTTGACTCCTTGCACCAGTACTTCCTGCTATGTCGATTCACACTTGTGCGAGGGTAGAAGCATTTCACTGTAACAGAACCTCCAAGCAACCCAGTCACTTGCTTTGGCCCAAATATGGGACTTGAAGCTGAAACTGAAAAGACAATTAGATCACGCTTATGATTTTCATTCCCAAAGATAAGAGCTAAAATTTATGTGAGAATCACATTGCACATTTTTAAATAAGATCAAGATATTATAGAAACTCAGTACAGTATCTGGGATCTATTTCTCATTTAAAACATATTACCTTTTCTGTATTGCTCATGTATGCAATGACTATTGGCAGGATCCCTCCACAAAGTAGGGAACCTGACATTTTTCAAGATCCCAAATATCACATAAAGTCCAGAATCCTACTGGCAGTTTATCCATGCATACTGTAAGTAAACCCATGTAAGTTGCAGGAGTTACTAAGATGCCAGTCATGCTTTTGGTTGGGTGTCTGTTGCACAACCAAGTGCATCACCAGAAATGAATGCAACACTGCATTACTTAGCAGCAATTTGCTGCTGTGAGTTGCATGAACATACTGTAAATCTCAGACATGTTTCTGCCCCCTCTCCAAATAATTTGTGCACTGTCTGTATGTATATAGGCTTTATGCAGAAAGGATAAATCAATGTGAGGCAGATGTGGTAGAACTACAGTTGTGACTCCTATAGATCCATGCATTGAATACCTTGTTTTTGATAGTTAAAACAAGGCAGCTATAGATAGCAAATAGGTCAACAAGCTAGATATTTAAGAATCTGTGTTATAGCAAATCAGAACAAAGCCTGGAAAAAGTACCATATTTTCCGTGTATAAAAAGACACTTTTTCCTAAAATAATTAGAGGAAAAATTGAGGGTCGTTTTATACACGGAAGGAGGCAGAGGTGGAGGCAAAGGAGCAGCCACGCTCAGCCACCTCTCGTGGCTGACCATTGACTGCTGCCACTCCCACCGAATTAACTCCTCCAACGTCACTTGCGGGCTCCCTTCTGGCAGGGGACAAGGCGGCGAGCTGGAGGTGAGCCCTGGCAGTCAGATTGGAGGATGCGATTGGGCGATGGAGGCGGCAGCAGGAGGAGGCAGAGGAGCAGCCACTCTCAGCCACCTCTCATGGCTGCCCATTGACTGCTGCCTCCGACGACCAATCGCCTCCTCCAGCACCACTGCCAGGGCTGAACTCCAGCTCATGCTACCACTTTTTCCCCTGCCTGAAGGGAGACCACAAGGTGAGGAGGCGATCTGGTTGGGGAGGCAGCAGCAGCAGGAGGAAGTGGAGATTGAGGCAAAGGAGCAGCCACACTCAACCATGTCTCATGGCTGCCCATTGACTGCTGCCGCCAGATTGCCTCCTCCAGAGCCACTCACAGGCTTCCTTTGGGCAGGGGGCAAAGCAGCTGGAGCTGGAGGTGAGCCCTGGCAGTCGCACTGGAGGAGGCGATCGGGTGGCAGAGGCAGCAGCAACAGCAGGTGGAGGTGGAGGAGCAGCTGTGCTTCGCCACCCCTCACAGTGGCCCATTGACTGCTCCTTCACCTCCAGCAAGGGCCAAAATTAGGGGGTTGTCTTATACATTGGGGGGGTCATATACATGAAAAAGTACAGAACTTCTTGGACTAGGTAAAGGTTCCCCTTGACATTTAGTCACTCATGTCTGACTCTAGGGGGCGGTGCTCATCCCCATTTCCAAGCTGTAGAGCCAGCGTTTGTCTGAAGACAGTTTCCATCGTCACGTGGCCAGTGCGACTTAGACCTGGAACGCTGTTTACTTTTCCACCAAGGTGGTCCCTATTTATCCACTTGCATTTGCATGCTTTTGAACTGCTAGGTTGGAAGGAGCTGGAACAAACGACGGGAGCTCACTCCGTCGCGTGGATTCAATCTCACGACTGCTGGTCTTCTGACCCTGCAGCACAGAGGCTTCTGAGGTTTAGCCCACAGCGCCACCACGTCCCACTTCTTGGACTACATCATCTCAAAAGCACCAGCCAGCATGGCCAGTACAAATTGGAGGCCAACAATAAACTTGCTTCTGCTCTTTAATCTGAGTGATTGGTCACTAATTTGGAAATTTCACTTGATTGGAAACTGACTACAAGTTTAATGAGTTAAGTGAATTCAGATTTTGCAGTCATTGAAAGGAATCTCAATGGAAATGTGACCAGCGTACTAACATTCTAAAACTCATTTGAACCTGAACTAAAAATGGAACAAAGCAGTGTCAAGCCACGTGGTGTGAAACTGCCAGTCAGGTAGGTTTGAACAAGTTATCCATCATGACACCAGCTAGTTTTCATTTCAGTACTATGAAAAAGGATAGCAATGGGAAAGAAACAGAGAACAAATCTGTTGCATAACTTTGCGACAAGTGTAATTTAATTTAAACTAGTTAAAAGCTCCCTTCCCCTCTCCATTTTAAGTTTCAAGGTCCTTCAGGCTCACTTTTGCCTCAGGGAAGCCATAGGGAGCCTGGAAGACTGGCATCAGGACCACCTCCAGCAGTCCAGCAGCAATGTTTCTCTTTGAAATGTCTTCTCCCATCACCCTGAGGATCCCAAAGGCTTCCCCAGGACAAAAGGGAGCCTCAGGGAGCCCTGGAACCTAAACAGATGGATAGGAAGCTTTTATGGGGAGCCCAGGAACCTAAACAGATGGATAGGAAGCTTTTACCTAGCATAAATTAAATGTTCCCTGCTCCTGAAACCAGGTGTGTTAAACAACAGGATTTTGCCCAGTAACTTTGTTAATGTATCAAAATTAAAATGTTAAGCAGAAATGATTGCAGTCTTGTAATGACCTAACATGAGATTATCCAGCCAAACTGAAATGTTTTTAAGTTGAATTAATTTAAATTCATATTTTAAAATGCTAGGTGAATATGTATAATATATGAATGCATATTTTACTGGCTAGATCATGCCTCATGTATTTATTTCATTGCAGTTGCTTGTGAGCTGCAGTACCTTAAAAAGTACAAGCATTTCAAACTACTATCCCATGTAGCAGAAGCAGTTCTTAATTCCCTGATGGCTGATGAAATACTCACTTGCAAGTTCAGTATGAAAAAAGACTAATAAAAAGATGATGGCCAGGAGACCCATTTCAAGAGACGGTTCCTATATGTGAGATTCTGGTTCCTTGTAGAGACTGCAACTTGAAAATAAATCAGTATAACTGTTATCAAACAATATTTATGATGGTTGTATATGTAGTACAGGATAAGCAAACTCTAATTGCTGACCAGCTAAGTACAATGTAATTTATTCACTAGATCAGTAGTCAGGAAACATGGTTAAATTACCCCAAATGGGATAAAAATGAAAATCCTGGGGGTAATGAGGATGTGACCCTAACCACTTTCCCCCCCTCTTCCTCTTCTGCCCGGAGGGGGTCCCCGGCTTCCCGATCGCCCCGTTCTCACCCCCTTCTCCGGCCTGGCTGCAACCGAGCCACAGCATCTGGTGGCTGGTGCCGGGTGCCGGCCAGCAGCATACAGCAGTTGAGGTGGCAGCAGGGGCAGCCATGGTGGAGGGCAAGGCCGGGGGCGAGTGGCCGGAGCGCCCCAGCCAGGAGGAGCCTCTCCTTCCAGTGCCTGGAGAGGTGGGTCATGGCACAGGAGGGAGGGCACAGCCATGACGGCAGCCTGGACCAGGCTCAGCCCCCCCCCGGCACCAGGCCGCCACCACGCCACGCCCCGTCTCCATTCCCGGACGAGCCCATCGGGCGGCAGCAGCACTTGCTTGGCCACACGACTTCCTTCAGTGGCACCTCCGCACTGGCTGGCCAGGCCTGGCAGAGCCTCTCACCCTCCGTGCAGCAGCTGTCATTGCGCTTTGATGGCGAGGCCTGCGGGAGCCCTGATGCCAAGGCCCAACACAGAGCAGGAGGCAGTGTTGGGTGCCCCCGGTGGGCGAGCCGCCCGCTGCTCTTCGACGGCTGCCCAGAAGCCACCTGCTGGCAGAGAAAGGGAGCCACCCCTGTGGGACCAACGACCGAGCACAGCCCCGCAAGGCTGCAGTGGTGGAGGAGGAGGTGTCCCAGGCACGGGTGGCCCGGGCGCAGGAGTCAGCGCTCAACTGGCCACGTGTGACCGAGATCCTTCCTTTCAAATCAAGGGGGTAATGTCGGCACATATAAATTTTTTAGGGGGTAAAAGGTAAAAAAAATTCCCTGACTAGATGCAAATACTAGCCATCCTTGAGTACAGCTGAACCTGTACTGGTGTTTCCTAGAGAAAACTCAAGTTTTTAAAGAGAAGGTGTAAGCAACAGGTAGACTCCCAACACCTCCTCTTCCTTGTATTTAAAACAAGGGGTGGAGAATTGCTGCTGAAGCCCCCGAAAACAACAAACAAACAAAAATCCTTTGCCCTCCAGAGGTTGAGGAGCAGCAGTTTTGCCATATATTGAGGGAGCCCTAGCAACACTGAG